TTAAATTTATGAATATATTGAGTCTGGTAAAGTTCATTCTTCTTCCTTAATACAATTCTCAACCAATTCGCGCAAATTTGGATTCTCCATAGCGGCGGCAATGCGTTCCTTGTCGTTTATTTGCTTATTTACTGGAAGAGCGAGAAAAAAAAAGATAAATACACTATGAATTGCATAGATTAAAAGTGCGCCAACGTACTTTCGTCCTCCGTTGTGTGTGCGCCTTTCTTAATGTAAATGTCCAATTTAATATTATGCGGTAAGCTGCGCTCTACTTTAACGCGAATACATAAACCGATAAGCGTGGCCAAAGAGCAGTGTGGAACAGTGGGATTGAACTCGATGCGTACCTGTAAGAGCAGCACAACAAAAGTTAGAACCAAGATTAATAAATGTACACAAAATATGTGAAGATATCACTCATTTGGCAAAACAGTGTCACAACTCAAAAAACGAGATTTTTTAGGAGACGCGTTTAATGCACACGCGAGACTAGCACATAATTCTTACAGACTATGAAGTATGATAAGTAATTTTGCATCAATAGCTAAAAAAATATGGTTTTTGAGCTGCGACAATACCTGCTTAACTAAATGAGCAATATCTATGTGATTGGCCTTTTCGTAAAAGTAGAGTTACAATTCTAGGGTGTATGTGAATGTACATACATGTGTACACTTTATGTGTACATAAATGAAATCCCAACAGCAATATTTGCGTTGCTAATTTGGAATGTCAGGCAGTCAGTATTTACACATTTACATATTTAAATTTTTGGGTTTTGTTCNTTATCTATGTGATTCGTAAAAGTAGAGTTACAATTCTAGGGTGTATGTGAATGTACATACATGTGTACACTTTATGTGTACATAAATGAAATCCCAACAGCAATATTTGCGTTGCTAATTTGGAATGTCAGGCAGTCAGTATTTACACATTTACATATTTAAATTTTTGGGTTTTGTTCTTTATACAGTATCATATGGCCATATCGATGGCTGAGTGCAAGACCGACCTATCTCGACAGCCAGTTCGAAAACGCCCTATCCCAGAAAACTTTTCAAGAACGCCGTTCNTGTGTACACTTTATGTGTACATAAATGAAATCCCAACAGCAATATTTGCGTTGCTAATTTGGAATGTCAGGCAGTCAGTATTTACACATTTACATATTTAAATTTTTGGGTTTTGTTCTTTATACAGTATCATATGGCCATATCGATGGCTGAGTGCAAGACCGACCTATCTCGACAGCCAGTTCGAAAACGCCCTATCCCAGAAAACTTT